CATGACAAGTAAAAACTTTCCTATACTCCCTAGTTTTGAAAGTTATGTTTTATATGAGAAGCCAGTGACTTGTGGTGTATATGGATTATAAAATAAATTAATAAAATACTACTTAAGTTTGCAAATAACAAATTCTATTAGTTTACAAAACTGTACATGTACTTAACTAGATCTTGTACAGGTAGCATTCTGGTATTCATGGTTACATTATATGAACCTTTCGTGCTTTTGCTGCTGCAAATGCATCAATTAAACTATCAACATTTAAGGTATTAAGTACGTCTTTTTCAATACTGAATATTGCCAAACTACTAAGTCGTTCTTGAGTCACTGAGGTTCTCAAGTATGTAAGAATTAATTTCAGCTTGCTGAAGGACATATCACAACTAGCAATAGAAACCCCAATTGTTAACAAAATCTGCAATGCAATTCTTAAAATTGGGAAAACATCTTCACCATATAAAATTATAAATGTTAGCAAATCAGTTGCAACCATTGGTTCAGGAAAATCGGTCTGTGTTCTTTTACTTATCAACATTCTACTGTCTTTAATTTCTCTGTACAATTCTGCTTCATCAATATCACCTGGATAGCTCTTTGCTAAGTCAGAACATTTTTCTTCCAATTTTCCGTCTTCGAAGTCTCCAGAAACAATATTTTGCACATCTAGTAGAAATCCAAACCGTGAATCTAAATCTAGTAACCAAAAAAATCTTCCTGTTGTTTCTGTAATCAAGCAATCAATAACATCCTTCATGGTGCGATAAATTTCCTGTTCAGCAGTCAATCAAGCATCAGCTGCATTTTCACCTGGAATTCGTTTACGACGTATTTTTCTTCTTTCAATGGTCAATCCCCATGTTTCACATTGATTCTTGCTCACTTTAAGTGCTTCTTGGCAGAACTTTTCACTATTCTATCAATTTCTCTTTCAAAGAATCAAGATCAGCAGCTGCTTCTCTAAAATTCATTTTTTGCGTCCTGAAAAACGTTTCTGCACTCGATTGATAGATGATAAAAGATTTCTTCAAAAATGCAAAAGTACAAGAAAATCAAATGTAAGCATGCGTTGCAGAATATTATGAGCACGACATTTTGTTTCAGCCGTATTGCCAATCTCACTTAATTGCTGTAACAGTCCTAGCAATTCATCCAGTGTTTCATGTACAACTTTTACTGCCTATTCTCTTGCACTCCACCTTGTTTCTGATTCACGCTTGACAGAGATCTTAAGCTCCTGCTGCAGTTCATCCCATCGAGTTGTTGAATGAGCTAAGAAATTATAAATGGCTTCAATTATACCAAAAAAGGTAATAAATGTTGTTTCCTGACTTGCAACATGAAGACATGCTATGTTCAAACTATGGTTGTCACAGTTTATAAACACTGCTTTTGGATTTTTGTTCAGAATTCTTTGTTAAACGCCTGACAGATGACCTGACATGACAGCAGCATTATCATAACATTTTCAACAACATTCACTCAATAAAATTCCATCCCTTCTAATTTTGTACTTATTGTTTTCTCAATATTGGCAGCGTCTTTTTCCTTTATCTGTATAAAGTCAATAAATGACTCTTCTTGTCTTAAAGTCAATGTCAACAAACCGAATCACTTGGGCCAATTGCTCACGATGGGCTAAATTAGGTGTGGAATCAAACAGAATACCATAGTATTTGTTTCTACGAATTGCTGACAAACAATAATTTCGCACATGTGGAGCCATGAGATTTATAAACTCATTTTAAATTTCAGAAGAAAGATAAGATGTTGACATTTGCTTGTTTTTAACACGCTCTAAATGCTCTCTCGTTACTGGATCATACTTTGCTAATAACGGCAAAAGTGACAGAAA